CAATTGTGCTGGCCACTCTGTCAATTGGAAATTTGGAAGCCCAATAAATACCTTCATAGTTTGAGCAAAGTAGGTAATACGAGTATACTCGTACATCCCAATATCGTTAGCCGTTTTCCGATATAACTCTTTCCAATATTGACCGATCAAGATTCTCGAACTAAAGCCAATATGAGCTCACGTAACACTTAAATATCGCTCATAATAATGACCAATAACGTTTATACCGATTTAATATAATTACGTTTATCGAAATAGTAAGTTAATTGAAGTAAAATCATGAATAAGTAAATATTACTTTATTATCTCACTTTTTGATAGTTTCATATCTGAAAAAGTGTAATTTATAATATATTGTTTTTTTTTATGTAAAAATTAAAATTTAGAATAAATGACAGGTAAAATCAGGAAAAACTGTACTGCAACACCTTTGAACTAACTCTTGAATTTATGAGACTGATTACATTGCCGCCATTGTGGTAACCCTGCGACGGTGAAAAAACTTCTCCTCTCCATTGGTATATTTGCAATTGCTCTAGCTTGTTTAGTTCGCCTGCTGTATCATCTTGAGTAAACGTGTGTTCGTGGTGCTCGTCACTAAAATGAAAAAAAAAAATCAAGAACAACGCGTAGCTGGAATCCTTGTATAGCTGCCCAAGGGAACCACATTGAAGGGGATGACAGAGTTGTAGAATAAATCTGAAATATACCGTTTTTACGGAGTCAGTCTCATTACTTCATTGTCACACTTTGTATATCTATTAAGTATGTGTTTGATCGTGTAAGCAGAGTAAAACAAGCGAAGTGCATTTCAGAGTATGGTTTATCCAAACTAAAGAAATGCTTAAAGCTAACATTGCTTGCAAGTTCAACAGTATGAGAAATGAGAGTTACACTAGGAAAAATATGTTGTATTGTATTTGAACACTCCTCCTCAATACAATATACTTCTCCGAAATCAAAGTTTACAATAAAAAATTACATAATGAAAAATATATATTAGTAAATTCCCAATTCTTTAACAAACTTTTCGTGTTTAATTCTTTGAAGGTTTTTTGTTACAAATCAGCAATCATATTGTTTGTACAAATATATCTTAAATCTATTTTAATTGCTTTGTACATTTCGCGAATATGATGGTATCTCACATCAATATGTTTGCTTCTGGAATATGTTGGGTTTCGAACGGGGTGTTGCGCTCCTTGATTGTCACAATTAATTATCATCGGCTCGATTATTTCGAAACCCATTTCATGCAAAAGCTTTCGTAGATACTCGGCTTCCTTTGCCGCTGTAGATAAACCAACCTACTCGGCTTTAGTGCTGCTAAGAGCAACAACATTTTGTTTTTGGGATCGCCGCGAAAAACACAGTTTGTTTCTATAAAAGTATACCCGGTGAACGATTTTCTGTCGGTACTATCTCCGGCCCAATCGGCATCGACGAAACCTTCAATTGGTTCACTAGACTTTTCGTGATGCAACTTGTATGATGACGGTTTCTTCAAATACCTCAAAATATGGTATAAAGCTGCTTCATGTTCACAAAGAGGATTCACATTTCGCTGAGATAGTTTTGTTACCGAATGTAGTATGTCCGGTCTCGTTGATAATCCCAAATACATGAGTGCACCTACTAATGATTGGTATTTGACAGCATCGACTTTTCTGCAAGAATCGCTCTTACAATCGACTTAAAAACGTGACGGGTGGTCTGCAGGTTTCCATGTCATACTGCTTCAAAAAATCTTCTATATATTGACGTTGGCATAAAGTAACAGAGCTTCCTTACGTTCGATTTCCATTCCTAAAAAATGCTTCAAAGGTCAATCATCTACTACATCGAAATGCTCAGAAATTTGCGCTTTAGTATCAACTATTGTAGTTCTCGTCTAGAAGAGCTTGCAAACAATACATCATCAACGTATACGGCAATTATATTAAACGTTTTTTCTCCATGCTTAATATATACGCATGGTTCGGTCTCACCTGGTTTAAATCCCATTGAACGAAGTACACTACCAAGTCGTTTATTCCATTCACGTCCTCTCTGTTTTAACCCATACAGTGCTTTGTGGAGTTTTAGCACATGATGTGGATACTCTCTTTAATAAAGCCTTCTAGCTGCTGCATATAGACAGTTACATTGAGCTCGCCATTTAAATATGCTGAAGACACGTCCATTTGGTCCAGATACAACTCGTAGTCTGTCGCCAATGCTATAATTAATCTAATCGTGGCATAACGAACCACCGGAGAAAACGTCTCGCTAAAGGTTACCCCTTGCACCTGGCTACACCCCTTTGCCACCAGCCGAGACTTAAATCGTACAATATCGCCTTCTTTGTTTCGCTTTACATTAAAGACCCAACGGCAAACAATTGCTTTAATGCCTTTTGAAATCGGAACTATAGACCATGTTTTGTTTGCAATTAATGAACTGTATTCCTCCTTCACAGATGCTTTCCATTGCTCAGCATCTTTACCATTTAAGGCTTCACTCACCGTTTCAGGCTTAACGACATCCTTTTGAATTATAGCGCCTACTGTATTAAAACGTTTTGTTGGGCGTCCTGCTTTTCCTGTCCGTTCTAGTCTAGGCCTACCTGGAGCTCTGTTGACTTTTTTTACGAACACATCATCTCTCGAATCATCACTGGTTGTGTATATTTATGTCTTTCAATATCTCTGCATTTTGTTTAAGCTTGCATTCCGCTGCATAGTGGCCGCGCAAACCATAATTATAACACCGTATATTTTTCTTCTCTTTTTTGTAATAATTACCAGTTCTTTGCTCGTTTGACTTCTTTGACCTTTCGGTATAATAAACCATGTTGCTGTTGCTGGAATTCAAATCTCTCTTTTCTAATCTTCTTTCACATTCTTCGATTAATTTGACCTTCAATGTACTTAAAGCAGGAAAAGATTCGCGCGCTTCAATTGCAACGACGAAATTGTCATACGATTCTGGCAAACTAGACAACAAAATAATTCACAGAATTTCGTCCGTTAAACTGGTATCGACTTGAGTAAGTAGTTCCACTATATCGGTAAATTCATTAATATGGTTAGACACACTAGAACCTTCTTGAAGTTTTAACGACATTAGTCTCTTAAACAAAGTGACTTTTAGAGCTGGGGCTCTACGTTGGGAAATATTTTTTAGAGTATCATCAGAGGACGAACTGCAGTATTTAACATAATTTAGCTGCGACACATGTAAACACGAAATTATTGTTGCCAGGGCTTTTTCATCTTTGGAATCATACGTAGTTATTGATGCTTCAGATGCCTCATCCTTCACCAGCTTTCGAGAAACTACCGGCCAAAGTTCATTATGAATAAGTCCGCTTTTCATGTGGACGGACCAAGATGAATAATTACTTTCATTTAATTTGTCGATCGCGTAAAGACCCGACGCACTCATTTCTAACGATTTAAAATATCGAACTTTTTAATTGAAACTATAAATTTAAAAAGGAAAATTGAATTCGAATTTTTTCTTAATTCGCCAACGATCCACGTTGTTCCTTTCTCTCAAATAACGATTTGCGAACGAACCAATTAACTTAAGCCAGAGCCAACTCTGGGCCCATAAACATTTGTAAGCAGAGTAAAACAAGCGGAGTGTAATTCAGAGTATGGTTTATTACAAACTAAAGAAATGCTTAAGTGCTTATTGTATTTGAACAGATCGCCCTAATTCCAGACACTCGCTCTTATTTTCTATCACTTTAGTCAACTAAGGCTTCAATTCTCTTAACTCTCCTTTTGCACCATCCAACTGTTTGAGTAGTAATTACGAAAAGAATACAATGATCTCACGAAACTATTTTTCGTTGGTAACATACGATTTCAGTCTCATCAAATAATTAAAATAAAAATACAGTTTTCTAACTGCGGCCGCCACTCAGCAAGAAATGTAGTCATACTTCCGACATGAAATGTACTTTCTCTCAAAAGTGAAGGCTTCAATTCGAATTCGAATGTGTACAAAGTTAATTCAGGAAATACTTTCATCAACAATATTGAATAAAATGCTCTCAATGGGAGAAGTGGTCTGAGTGCAACCTGTCTTCTTTTAATTTTTGAGTAAGTTTTACAGTTTTAAATCTTCAAACAACATTGTCTGACATATACAACTCCTAAAATCTTTAGTTAGATATATAGTTATATTATATTTATTTTTTTTAATTATAAATTTTTTTTAACAGGCGGCAGTAGTCATAAAAAATACTTTCCACAATAAGCTTCGTGACTCACTTCAGATTGATAACAATATTGTAATATTTTAACTATTTGTATTTTCCTGTAAGGGAATTTATGTATCTGTATCTCTGAACGGCACCACCTATGGTAAAATTATATGTCCAAATAATTTTTTTTATGGTCTTAAGTGTACTTTAAATATGGTTATAAAAATCACAGCTATAAGTAGAGAGTTGGTCGAAATAAATAAATAAATATCAAGTCAGCGTTTAGTAAAAGCAGAAAAGTCTACGAATTTACAACAACAGCAAAGAGTTTTATGTTATTTATCAAAAATATTGTCTCAAAAAGAGATTAAAGACACTTTAAACGTTATGGAAGTCGATTCAGCCGTCATACGACAGACATTCCATTATCAGAGAATATAGTTGAATGAAAATACATGAGTCGCAAATAAAAGATAATTTTAGGAAATTTCTCTTACGCTTGATAGCGGGAATATGACCTAATATCTAGAGGGTAAGTACGTAATAAGATCCTCGAAACGAAACCATAAGTGCACTTTTTTTTACAAATATGTTGAATATATGAAAATAGACCAAAAAATATTTTAACTTTTCTTAAAATTCCTTTTTATAAATTTTTTAGAATCTAAGGTCAATCGCAAACTTTTTTTAAACGGCCTAAAGGTCTCATGTGCATACATAAAATATATACATATGTAAATATATATATTTATGTATTATATATGTAAATATACATGTATACAATATATGATATATATGCTTATAGTTACGAAAGACGGAAAAAATTAATAAGGACAAAAAGGTTAGCAATGGCATAGAAGAGGAGACAGACGCAAGTGGTGCCGCTGCTGCACAAGCTTCGGGAGGGACTGGAGTTTCGGTAGCTTCTGGCGGCAGTATTGGCGGCGATGCAAGAAAATCATTATCAGATGGACCAGAAGGAGCAGCAGCATTCAAATATTGCATGCCAACACATGCAGTATATACTTCACCAGTACCAACGGCATGTACCCCAAAATACCAAATAAATAATGTTTTCGTTCAAATGCTCATTCGAATTCATGGCAAAAAATAGTTTCTACTTTTAAAATTGCATACATATATATATAATAGCATTTATATGTAATCGCTTAGTATTTCAATTTATCATAACCAATGAAATAGTACACTGGTATTTATTTCTTTCAAACATGTACATACACGTACATATGTGCAATACAGTATACTCATCTCAAAATATGTATTTTCTCTTAAACAAATTATTTTACAAAATATGACACTACGACTGATTAGTTAGTATTTATCCACATCTGAATCTACCCATGTACAAAAAATATATATATATATATATATATATTTAATATTTTTATTCATACAAATGTATTAATATACTCGTATAACAGTTGTAAGTATGATGCGTGGATGTGTATATGTGTATAATATACGTGTATGTATTTATGTGCTTAGAAGCTTAAAATTTATGTATATGTAAAAAAATATATATATGCCCATCTATATATACAGTCCGCTTCACTTGATTCGGGGCAGTACTTTAATGATAAGAAACAAAAATATTAGCATATAAATCCAGCTAACGGTATATTATAGTTGCAAAACTACCTGCTTCTTCAATTTTATGCTCAATTTTGTGGTTCACTTGAATAGAGGCAATTACTTTTGTTGCGTCTATTTTATCGCGGCAGTTGTAATTAATAATAAAATTAAGAAACACATTTTAGAGCGTTATGTATATGTTGAAATGAATGCTTACAAATAAATTGTATTTCGATCTCCATTTAGAGATGTGTATTATAATGTATGCTCAACTTTTATTTATAACAAGAATAACTTAAAATCTGGCCTGACTTTGCAGTTGGGTCATCCCATAATTAACTATTTGCAATAGGTATTATGAGTTTAATATACGAAAGTAAAGGATGAAAAAATACCTAATAGTATATTTGTATACACATATCGGCTATTGCTGATCTTTATTGTTGAGCTAGTTTTAATTATATGAATAATTATATAAATTTCGGAAGCACAAGTTATGGATTGTGTGTTTACTTCTCCTTCACAGCCGATATACAAAATTGCAGTCTTGATAAAGAGTCGATGAACTATAGCGGATTTAATTTGAACCATTACGCTCCGTTCTTTCTCATCTTTGGGCTTATATGGGGTTGCTAATTTTTCCTTTAGGTCAACAATTTCTCGGCAAACTTGCATATGATACATACATATATATGTAAGCAGTGGCTCATATATAAAGAATTCCACTTAAAAAAATTTCTCTCGGGTAGCCGAGTTTTGAAACGAAGTTTTTATTTACTTTTATTAGATTTCTGAATTTTTCATATCACGGATTAAATGCGCTATACATTGGGCGCAGCTAAATGTAAATGTTAATGCCATTATAACATAAAAGCTAAGCTGCTCTTGCCTTTATCACACCACATAAATCTATGAACATGCATGTCCGCTTCTATGACGTTCAAGCATCTCCGCAGTGCGCGAATGCGCGTAAGAATAGCTATCTGGTAACGAACTCCACTATAGCTCGATTCCCAACGATTTTAAATTTGTGTAAACGTGTTATTTACAAAATAATAAAACTTAAAACTTACTCGCCTAGCGAGGTTGTGCGCTGGTTATTGTGCCTCGGATATGATACCCTCCTCCTGATGACGACCCCCACAAACGAATTGACGATAACGATTAGAATGTCCAGTCCGGGGCAAGGGCGGAAGCGAGTAGGTCCTTGTGACATTTACTATAGCTGCCATATAAAGGAGTGCAAATTTGGTGTCGGATTTGTGGCGAAGAAAGACTCCGTCAACGCATCCGCATCGAAGCCAAATTTTTTAACATATCGTTGATTAGCGCCCACGCCTCTACAGAATAGAAGGACGATTTGGGCAAAGATGCTTTTTATGCGCACCTCATAAGCTGCCCGCGCTACAATATCAAAATCGAGCTTATCGATTTTGATGCCGGAGTGGACAAAGAAGGTATCTTTCGTCCAATAGACGGAAAATTCATCTTCCACAGCGAAACATCCCCTTATGGGTTGAGGCTGATCGAGTTCGCCGCTGTCCGAAATATGGTTGTCTGGAGTACTAGATTCCACCACAAGTAAATACACCAGCATAAAAACAGATCGGTCATGTTGTGATAGACGGAAGGCACGTCTACAGTGCTCCGTATGCTCCGAAGGCCCAACATCGACTCGACCACTATATTGAAGCAGCGAAAATACGCACACGTCACACAAAAAAAAGCTCGACTTCGAAAAGCTGTGACAATGACGACTGTCGTGTCGCAGCAAAGAAAAAAGGTTGACACAAAGAGGTAATCCAGTGACGGATGCTTAGAGTATACTGAATTTATGAAGGGAACACTTCTCCAGCCTGCTGAATGGTAGGGTAAACGAAACACCCAGAGATGGTGAACCCGAAATCTCAATCAATGACGATGGAAAATATGTTCCCTTGCTCCACTATGACGAGGTTCCAGTAGCCATTGCCCGTCAAAAGAACACCAAGTGGCCGGACCTGACGGAATACCAGCAAATCTATTCAAAAATGGCGGTAGCGCTGATAAGGCGCATGCATCAGCTACTATGCAGAATATAGTCGGACGAAAGCATACCCGACGATTGGAATTTAAGTGTACTCCGCCCAACGCACACAAAGTGGACCCCAAAATATGCGCCAACTACCATGAGATAAGCCTACTAAATATCGCATTTGAGGTACTTTCGAGTGTATTGTGTGAAAAACTGAAGCCCAGCGTTTTCAGCGTGGCTTTAGGCCTGGTGAATCAACCAATCAAAGGCGTATAACACCTATTGATATAAGCCGAACATGTGTGAAGAGAGAGGTAGAGTAACTGAAGATACGAAATATAGACGGTCAAACTTGTAATCTTGTGTGTGTGTATCTACTTATTTCACAGCTGACCTGACATTTCAGAAGGTCGATCTGCATCTGATGATATCATACGAACAACGAAAAACGAAAACAGCGATAGCAATAAACATGTAATTAAAATAAAGCAAATAAATAAACGACGAGTAGCGATGCGAATATAAAAAAAACGTATAATGAAAGAAAACGAATCAACCAAAAAACGAATGGAAACATGGAAGTGACGGAATAATATCAATGAGTGAAATAGTTCAGCAGAACAAAAAACGAAGTTACAGCGAATTCTTATTATTACGAAAATGATATTATACATTAGAATTAACTTAAAACTACTAAGTGAAGACGCCTTTCTACAGAAGATGTTTAAATTGAGCTGCGGTTACGAGTAAGCGGAGCTGTCAGTTCAGACAGTATAGAAATAGCCAACGTAAATTTACAAGATCAGATAGTTCTGTTTTACAAATGTTGCAAATTAATAATAATGTCAGTGAACTGAACGAGCATGGGAGGCAACAGCGTCTAAACACTCCTGCTGATAGCTCGCTTACAAGTTATGGGCGTAGTGACTATTGGGTTAAGGAAATCTCAGAAACTATTTCGGAATTCGACCCAATAAACGATTCATCCATATCAGTTGAATAGTTCGTAGAGCGTGTAAATAGTGCTATTTAAGCCTATCGATAGGAAGAAAAATGTGTTCTACTGGGGGAGTATAGTTGACATAAGGTGCAGCAAAGCTCTGGGTAAATTCCGTGGAAGCGATATATTCAAGTTGGAAAGAATTATCGAAATTGTTATGTGAAGAATTCTGTTGTCGGCCAGATGAAGCTGATATACATTTTAAAATGTCTCAAACTGTGCGTAAACTTAACGAGAGTCTACTCCACTACTGTTCTCGAATTGCGGCCTTAAGCAAAAGATTTGGGTTAAGTGAAATGGTTGTAGAGAAGAACACAAGAGATGGGCTTAACCCGCGTTATCTACGTTTATTAAAACCAGGAAAGCTAATCGTAAATGCTGAAATTATTTCTAATGAGAAGTAAATGATTGGGAAGCAAATTATTTATTTGTTACAATTGTTACATATCGTCGAAGTTACTGCAACCACAGCGTAGGCGTAGATGCTTTGAATGTCAAAGAGTGGTACTCTTACGAAACAAAAGTGGAAGATATAAATAAGCTACTCGATTTAATGAATAATTATCGTGATGTCTGCTACAAACTTGAGTTAAATCGGTTGTACCGAGCTCGTAAAAATGAAGATTGATTTAGAGACTAACATTCCCATAGTTCAGAAACCATTTCGGGTTCCTGAGCCGAAAAAGAATGTAATCGTTGATATTTTGAAAGAACTACTTGATAATGAAATTATTTGTAAATCAGAGTCCGAATATGCTAGCCCTATACTTTTGGTGGGGAAAAAGCGGTGGCGAACGATTGTGTGTGGACTTTCGACGGTTGAATCAACAAATGCGGAGAAAATATTTCCATCGCCAAATAAAGAAGAATAACTACAGCGAGGCGAAAGTTTTGTATATTTCTCGGTTCGAGACCTTAACAGTGGCTACTATCGAATTTAATCGAGGGAAGCAGGGGAAAGTATACTGTGTTTATTACGACTGAGGGTTTATATGAGTTCAAGCATATGCCGTTTGGCTTGAAAATGTCCTGGCATTCTTTCAAAGTCTCATCATCCAAACTAAAGACAGTGTGTAACCCAAAGACGTGATCAATTATATGAATTACTAATCGGTAGTTTGACACTGTGTGAACTGTACAAAAGACTTGAACATATTTTGAACGCATTACAAAAAGCTTACGTTACGCTTAATTTGCAAATGTGTGAGTTTTTTAAAATAACCATACAATTTCTGGGACACAATCTAACACCTCCAGATTTATCTAACTAACTACCTAACTAAAGCTGTAAGTGAATTTAAAACGGCACAAAATGTTATAGAAATTAGACAGTGTCTCGGGTTAAGCGGATATTTCCGAAAATTTGTCCCTGGGTATGCCGTCACCGCTGGTCCGTTAAAAAAAGAAATGTTTAAATGGTCAAATGAACAAAAAA